TGGTAGTGGTAGTAGTAGTAGTACTACTACTACTACTACTACTACTCCTGCTACTACTACTACTACTCCTACTACTGCTACTACTACTACTACCACCATTGTATTATAGTGTCGGTGGTGATGCTGCTGGTCATGGTGCTGGTGATGGCCGTTGTCGTGGTCGTCACCTACTGATGGGCCCGAAGCTGCAGTCTAAGTCAATGCGACCCTCAACAGTAGATCCGATACAGTAGGATCCTATTGCAAGCTCCGATCTGACATGACAAACCCCATGATGTAGGCCAAACTTGGTGCGGCCTTTCAGCTGGAGGACATATATCGATGAGGGCTGTAGAGTCACGGGACTTAGGGCTGAGGGAATTGCTAGAGCTGCAAGAGTCGCGACAGCGAACAGTTTCGTATTGAAGGATTTGCCGGCCAAATCACCAAGAACAGAAACCGGATCTGTTCAAATTCTTTCTTGGTTGTGCATACGGTCAGCAGAAGCTTGAGTAAATACAAAGCAAAATAGACAGGCATGCCGAGCGCAGCACACGTACACATACATACATACAAACATACAAGCACATGCAAATGCACCGCCTTCCCCCACCCTTCGAGAACCAACCCGGCAGACAGCTTTCATTGAAATAAACGACATGCAGGATGCGGAGCTGAACGCGCGCACTGCTAGTCTTAATGCAGATATGCAGAAGTTCTAACAACACAACACGGACATCAGGTGCAACAAGTCTGAGGCCGGCAAGCTGCTTCGAATCAAAACCATTCAATATGTGCACGAACACAAGTGATGTGGATACCGGAATTGGAAGGCTCAGTGGTGGAAACGAAGAATCCAGTAGTCCACGGATTCTGCACTCATATTCCGATGCATGCGCACATATATCTTTACACACATGTTCGCACACATATGCATATTTGTTCGGGCAGCCGTACCCGTTATAAGTTATAAACAGCGCAGACATATTTCCGACGCACACCTGTCGCTTGAGACTTAGACCACTGCAACCTGCATGCCAGAAGCCAACGCACCCTGATCCTTTACCTGAAACAAGTCAGTGCTTCCTGCATGCTAGTTCAGTTGTTCATCAGATCAAGCCTGGAATGCCAAACTGTGGAGGACAGGCACTTGATGGTGTAGCCAAGACCCTCCGGCGTTTTGTCAGGACGAGGATGATGCAGCGAATGCGAGAGCTCAGCTTGCAAGCAAGCTCAGCGGACGCAAGGACAGGCCGAACTGCAGCTCTCCGTCATGGCTTGGGTGTAAGGAATTTTGGGATGCTGGATGCTAGACATGGCAGCATGGCCTCTAGATCCTGACTTAAAACGCCTCACCGCGAGTTAGCACCTACAAGAACGAAAGCTGTGCCTGCAGCGAACTGTCAAAAATGCACATACGTCCATAAACAAAACCCACCCTAAAGTCCTGCTCGGCCTGGTGCGAGTGTGAGAGTCGAAAGTCCTGCTCGCTGACAGCTTTCTCGTACTACAAGGTCGTCAAACAGTCCACCTCTGTGGGTCCAAGGGTGAGCCACTGCCAGCAGGCAGGCACACTGCCGTTTCCTGTAAGCTCCAGCAAGCATTATAAGCAGTCCTAGCAATCGGTCGTCGGTTTTATTTGGCCTTCGGATTTTGGCCGAAGCTATAGGTGACTCATGACAAGGGTTTAAGCCAGTCCAGGCTTCAGACAGCAACTGAAACCAGCTGACTTACTGACTCAACCGATTTCCCACGTTGTGGCGGGTCAAGTTGACACTGCATCCGAGCATCTCCAGAAAGCCGTACAACTTACACCCTGAAAGCTACGTTCCTTTAAGTCGTCGGTTTTGTGCAACCTTTGGAGGAGGAGCTTCCCTCACTGGCTATGGCTCGAGCCTCCGCGGGTCGCGATGCTGATCCTCGGTTCGTCGAGGCCCAACCTTAGGGAGTTGTCGTCCAATGTAAATAAGACGGCTTTGGAGATCAAGCCCAAGAACTGAAAATGAACCTGTGAGAAGGCAATGGGCGGAGACAAGCTCCTCCAGGAGGCAGAGGGATGAGTTTGGGATTTGGTCAGCATGTTGAGGGTTTTTGGGTGTGTGGCCAAAGGTTGACGTTCAGAGAAGTTTTTTGTTGCTTAGAGATTGCGTTTCGGAATACCCCTAGGCCCTAGAGGCTTTTTAGGCCAGCTCGCGAACCGAGGGCCTCTTCCGATAAACGCAGTCTCCCAAACATGCACCTGGTGAGGCAATTCTGGTGCCAAAGATCATCACAGAATGGGTAGATGTTGTGGGTTTCAAACCTGCCCCAAGCAGACTCCTGCTCCAAACACGTTGGAACGGACCAATCTCAGACCCTTCCCTTCACCCTAATCCCAAGACTGCCCGAGACGGGTCCCTGGAGGCTCACAAGATCCTGCGAAGTGCAGCGGGCAGCGGCCGCCTGGGCGCCACATCGCGATCCAGGCAGCGGCGCAGCGGTTCTTGAAGTCCAGGGTGCGTTACTGTGAGCTTCCTCACCCTTTGTTCAACCCCACAGTCAACACCCTGGGGCCTGAACCCCGTCCGACAGAAGTCGCGCTTAGATCGTGCCATGAACTAAGACTAAGACCTGGTGATGCAACTTCCTATGGCGACCGCACGATTTGTCGCAAATGCTAGACTTTGAAGCCCAAGCCCCGCTCAAGCGACCAAGAGTAGACAGTAGCTGTTGGCATTTGGGACTCCTGTTGCTGATTTTTTGCATCGACAAACTGTTCGGGACATTCGGGATCAGGAAGCGTGTGCCGTGAAGGCTGAGCTTTGAACCTCACGGATCCCGAACCCTCGACCCTCAAACCCCAACCCGAATCCCTTAAACAAAAGGATCATCTCGCGTGACGGAACTATGTGGAGCCTTGCCTGCCTTGTGCGAGAGTGCGAGAGAGTAGAAAAAACAAAAAAAGCCCCTTAATCTGGGCTTCTTACAGCTACTCGGAGTCAGCTTCGGCTTGAGCCCCCTCCCACTCCCCGCCCGACCAGGAGTCGCAGCCGGAGCCGGAGGCGGAGACGCGAGCGAAGCGCATCTGCCTCGCGTGATCGAGGTGGAGATTTTGATGACCGAAAATTTAAAATGTTCAGGTTCAGGTCAGGGCTTTTGTGTTTGAGGCAGGCCGAGTCGCTGAGGGAATGTAGAGAATACAGTACAGGGTCTTCAGGGCTTTGCAGGTGCACTAAAGCAGCTTACAGCAGAGTTCCAAAAGGGGCTATGCGGACAAGGGGACATAAATGACTTGTGTGGGCAGCAACTGGGGGTTCCAGCTTCGTGCGCATGCATTGGCTTTCCCGGAGTCGGAAGCTAGGCATCGGTCTGGCCTGGATAGTTCAGAGCGATTCCTCGGATCCGGAGTCGGAGTGGACATTTGGAGCTCCTGCGGTCTGAATGTGCACGTGCTCGTGCATGCAAGCATGCGCATGATTATTGAACTGGGTGCACTCGAAGGGCACCTTCTGCCTCATCCATAACCCCGACACTTGACAGGTTAAACCGAAAGCCTTCTGACATGCCATGACTTTGCTTGACAACTGAGGCTACAAGGTCCCAGAAACACAGTAAAAGCTAAAGACGCCGTGTTTTGGACAGCAGAACGCCGCAGGAGCCCAGCACCAAGCAAAAAGCAAGAAGTAAATCCAAAGCTCCGGAGCCCATCAGGGCGGCGACCGCCGAATGTCCGTTCCAGCGGCTCCTACCGCTGCCGGGCTAGAAATGCCAAAACGGCCTGGGGGGTTTTGTGTTTGCGACTTAGGAATGCCACCCCTTACAACTTGATGTGTTAGGATGAGCAGCTGCGAACGACCTTTTTAGAGGAGTCTCTCATAGCGTTGAGCAAGGCTCGCCGACGCCGGATGGACGTGCGCGTGGTCAGGCCTTATTGTTGGATCAGAACAAATGCGCAGTTTAATATTGACAGTCGTCTGACGTACGACAAGGCTTCGGCTACATGCCAGCATCGCCAACTGATAGAAGATACGAGGGCAAATTCCAGCTGAGTTCGTGACCACTCCTACCACTCAGCTAAAGCCAGCTGCAGCACCCATGGGGGGGCACTGCTCCAGCGCCGCCCGCAGAAGCAAGCCTAGGCTTATCCGAAACCCCTGCATGGTCCAAGCCTTGGCTTTTGGATTGGGCGTAGGGTAAGCAGGGAAGGGAAGCACGAGCAGTTCTCATGCTGAAAGCTACTATGTTGCAGCTGCTGCTGCTGCTGCTGCTGCTGCTGCTGCCGCTCCGCTGCTGTTGCCGTTGCTGCTGATGATTACTGATGCTGGTCGCGGTGCTGGTGGTGATGATGATGATGACGATGACGAGGATGATGATCATGACGGCGATTATATTTATTCCATTGATGTTCTTTCGCCTCTTGCTACTTCGACGAGGACCACCTACCCAAATGTCGCCGTCACTTCTCTTCATGTTTCAATTAGTGCGTTTCCTATCTGACAAGAAGGGGGGTGTCGGAATATCCACCAGGCGGTGGGACATAGTAGAATAGCGCTAGCCTGACAACTGTTGGTACCCACACTAGCAACTATGTGGGCGAGCCCTGTGGCTGGCAGGCACGGGCGGCAAGAAAAGCAAAGATGTAGCATGGCTGCAAGTCCTTTTTGGGAGTTGGGAAGGAGTTTGGAGGCCTCGATCTATCAGTCAACCCCATCTCTTGCGTGGTTTTCTCATACAAATATATCAAGAGATATATCTATATATATATATATCTATCTATATATCTATATCTATATCTATATCTATATATATATATATATCAAGAGTTGGACTCCTTACCCTGTACTGTCCGGTCAGTTTATTGGGGCATGACTGCAGTCAGAAATCGGCAGCCCAACCAGTAAACGAGCACCTCAACCTGTGAACCTGGGTTGTATTCTACGATGCTTTATGGAGGTCCTGCTGAGCCGGAAGCGGCTAGAAGAGACAGTAGTAGCTCCGACTGCACGCCACAAATGTGCGCAAAACCCAAAGCCCCACCCAACCATGCAGCCACCCAGCCCCCGCTCAGCACGATAATCGCCCAGGATTGCATCTCTGATGGGCATAAGATAATGCATTTGACTCTGTGCTCTGAAAGAGCGTGCATGCTGTCAGAGTCCAGCAGTAGGGCCACACCAGGTTCGCTGCTGTGGATACTAGAACTCTGTTTTCATAGCATGTGTTTCTCTTACAGGCTCTTCGCAAGTTCAAGCCACACGCCTTATGCGTTTTTGGGCGGGGATTGAAAAGTTGCCTGGGTGATACTGTGTGGAAACCCTCTCGGCAATTGGACAGCAGTTAGCACTTCACACATGTATGTTGACACGAAGCATCACTTCCGCAACGGTCACCATCACCCATACAAGCATGAATCAAAATAATGATCATTCAATCGTCTGTGCTGAGCCAGCGCATCAGCTGAGAGCTAATCTGCTGGCACCTGGCATAAAGTCCCCGAACATTACTACTGTCTGATTTCTCACAAAATCTAAGCGCAAGCAGGTGACAAATTGCTGACGGTAGCGACAAATGACATGATGCTCCGACTTCGTGCAGAAGGTATATACTGGTTCCGTGTAGCATATCGAAAACGGTTTGCAGCATGCGGCCTTTCACTGCCCCATAGTTCCTGAGCACCCACTTCCTCTTGGTTCATGCATGGGGAGTGGCACATTCAACGTCATGCCCGGCCTGCAGGCAAAAGTAGATTCGCTTCAGGTTGAGGTTCCAATACGATTAAGCGTTGCCCTTGGCACTCCCAAGCACGAACCTTCAGGCTGCCCGTTAGTATCCGCGCACGCCTTTGAATCGCAAGGCAAGGCCTCTTGCGCCCAAAAGTTGTCTGGAAAAAGTGGGTGCTGATTTCCGAACCTGCTCTCCCTGTTCAGTCTCCCATGCACAGTGGCCCAGTTGTAGGACTCGAAGCTAGGCGCCCGCCTTCGTTGGCTCAGGACGTCTCAGTAGAGTCCTTGTAGTTGCTTGTAGTCTGCGCTGAGCACGGCGGGGCTCACGGTTTGGAGATTGAAACAGTTTCGGATTGAGGCAAGTCCTCTTCGGGTTTGGTTCCGTCCGGAGCTAAACAGACCGCTACTGGGATTTTATAGCGGCCATAGCGCTTCCGAAGATGGCAAGATGAGCAAAGCCTAAACCAGGATTCGGAACCCAAGATCCCAGTTGGGAGAAAAAGACCGTGGCAACATCAGGTAGTAATAGTCATAATCCGAATAATCGGTAGCAGCATTGCAAAACAAGACGGTGTCTGCTCAGGCAGCCTGCGACTGCGTTCCGCGCCATGGAAGGCGCAAGTCCAGGCTGCCTTGGAGTAGAGGTCGAGGTGGGCTGGGTGCTGGTCAGAAACAGCTCCCATCTGCATATTTTGTCGCATTTCGCCGCCCTGGCCTCTCTCCGGTCACAGTTGTCAGTTTAGGCCTTGCAGGGGAGGTGAGCAGCACAAGATGTGGCACCATGTAACGTGTGCTCCGAACCAAACGGCCGATAAGCCTCAGCCCGAAGCCGAAAGCCAAGGTGGAAGAGCTGACCTCTGAAGCGAGTCTGAACTCAGAGGTGGGCGAGGAATCTTTCGGATGGTATCCGTTATTGTTACTGGTACTACCATGGTGGACATTGTTGCGACTGCCAGTAAGCTAACCCGTTCCAGTGACACAATTCCAGCGCACCAGCCATGATGGAGATCACAGGAGGGGCAATGCGACCCACTGTTTTAAATTACAGTTTCGATGGGCTGCCTCAGCTTGACAGAGAAAGACCTGGGGTGGGAGGCAACAAATGTGGTATGCTTCTGTTCATGTGTTTCAGTCTGTGTTTTGTCTGTGGAGTCCCAGGAGCAAGCGGTCTCACAATGTAGGCCTTGTTGTGCTGCGACACTCTCAACAGACATGCCATGAACAGGTGTCTCCAGCCTTGGCCACGGCTTCGGCCTCCGGCGACGAAGTCGCTGATGGCACTTTGGAGGACTCGCTAGAGGACTGAGGGCTGCGCTCTTGGGGCTTAGATTTAGATGGTGAAGGGCGGCGAAGTTGCGGAGTTTAGGGCTCAGTGCTTCCAATGTTTGGTTTGTAAACGTGCCTTCGGACGGACCTCGACGTGTCGGCGCCCTTTCTCGCATCCTGGCAACCGTTGCATTGCGCAACGTACAACAGCCGGAATCTGAAAGAGAAGCATAGTTTGGGAACCGTCCAGGTGGACCTGGTAGGCACTCCATACGTAGCTGTTTAGACCACAAGTGAGGACATGTGAGGCAGTGGAGGGGGGGGGGGGGGGGGGCTCGGCTCGGACATGGGGTGCACGGTGAGAATCTCAGGTAAGTTGTGCGGCTGAACTACGGGCTTGTTGACCGTAGTGGCCGGGAGATTCGGAGATTCATTTCTATGACTACTTGTTGTTGCCCGCGCTTGTTTCCATTGTATCATCTTTTGCCAGGGCTGAGCATCAAGCAACGACAGTGAAGCACAGTCGTCAATAAGCCCACGGAGCAAGCGATGCCTCGCTTGTGAGGTAAAAGTACCATAGACCGTAAGCATTGACCCTACAAAACAGACACACAGTGTCAAGGTGAGCCAGGGGCACGAGCTTAACACCGTGTGCAATGTTATGCTGCAAGCAGTATCAAGAACTTTCTGCGCGCAAAAGTGCGAGTTGATCTTGCTGTGCCTCAATCCCAGTGCTGTTGCTGTCCAGTGGATAGTGACGTTTGTAAGAGGTTTTCAATTTTGTCCGAATTAGCTTGTGGATAGCTTGTTTGAAGTTTGCCATCGTTCAGCTCGCCCTGGACCCCCATCCAACCCAGGAAGACTAAATCTCAGAAACCCGAAGCAAAGCGCAATTGCCACACCGAAAGTCAAAAACTGGGCTTTCTTTTCACAAGCTCAGCTGGCTCAGTTTGCACTTCAGGATGCAAGCTTTGGAGTAGCAGTGCTTCAAGCGGCGGAGACATGTCGTGATGCTACAAGCCTACACCGCAAACATTCCAAAAGCCGGACTTCTGCCATCAAATCTTTGACTCAGGCTTTGTTGCCAAGCCTTTCAGGTTCAGCGTCTTTAGAGCTTCCTAATGCGTTGCACGGCGCACTCGAGGCGTTCGTGTTCGCGACCATTCTATGTAAACGCAACCCCGAAGGAGTCCACGGACGACGGTCTCAAAGATAGGCCAAGTCCTCGCCTGGCGCAGCCTGTACGATGGTGTCGGGACGTGGATCCTTGGCACATTACGGGTGCTGTGCCAAGCGTTTGGGCTGTTGGGTTTAGGTGCTCTCAGGAGTTGTCACCCTGGGCAGTGGGCTTCTAAAAGACTCGTTCATCTCCGAGAATGGCTCGAGCTTCATGTCGTTGTTGTTTGTGTTCTTGTTGTTCCTGTTGCTGTGGCTTTTTGGCTGAACGATGCGTCTTGGCCCAACAATGAATGTTCTTGTTCAAGGAGTTCCATTGGGGCTTGTCGTCGACGCTTGTGCTTGGGAGACACGAAGGACGCATCTCCGCTTTGCGCCCTTGTCCATGCCACTATGACGGGGACCTCGCAGGGCCTCGAAGTTGCTGAGGCCGGGCCGCCGAGGGCACTAGGAGTCTGCAGCCGGCGTAGCGTTTTGATGCAGGAGCCTGGAGGACGCACCACACGCACTTTTCTGCTAGAGTGCATTCAGGGGGCTAGCAGACTGTAGAATATGCACATGTAAATACTCATCCTTTATGTGGGTGACCGCTGCGTTAGTGCTCTAGAGGCAAAAAGGAGTGTAGCTGCAGCGCAATGGTATGGTACCTCCACCACTCAACGGACATCTTATTATCAGTGCATGTGAGCAGTGGTTTCTCCAATCCAAGGTTATCAGCCGCATAGCCTACGGCCTGGTACTTTCTGGCAATCAGTGCATCAGTTCTCCTGAATTGGTTGGCAAAGTTGGAGGTACAGGAATTAGAGGCTAGAGCGGAGGTAACACACAGGCAAATCACTTGAGTCCGTCGAGCAGGCTGCAGAAGACGTCATCGCTGACCTTGAGCAAATAGCCGAAAGAACCACCTTGAAAATGTAGCCTCCCTAGAGGAACTCGTGTCGAGATGCGCAAAACACACTTCGATAGAATCTTCCAGACTTGCAGCCTCAAAGGTGACGAGTTGCCGAAGGGCCGCCAAGATAGGAAGTGGAAGGGTCGTTGCGTTTCCAGGGCAGCAGGGTTTCCGATGAGCACAATGAACACGCGATCTTCCAACCCCGAGGCCGCGAAAGTGATCGACGTTTTCGGTAGCCAGCCCGGGTATGCTAAACAGCAGGCTGTCGCGAAATAGGCTTACACGCAAACTCTCGTCAAGGGCGTGAAAACTTGGGTTGGGCTCCCACGAGAATGGCACGGTTACCAGGAGCCAGTAGTCCCGTTGATGCTAGCGCTTTACGGTCACCCAGACTCCGGAGGTATCTGGGAGAAGCATTGCGAAGACCAACTTAAGGCTGTTGGTTGGACGGCTGTGCTTCTTGAGATCTGGCAGAGCATTTTCTACCACCATGAGCTTGATCTGCTGCTCGTGATCTATGTAGACGACTTTGAAAGATGGCAGGTCCAGCAAAGAACCTCAGCAAAGGGTGGAAGACTGTTGATTGAGAGTGTCATCGACATGGATCCTCCCGAACCCTTCTGTCGTTGCTGGAGTTGTAATCATGTTGTCACGTTACCAAGGTCTGCACATCCTTTTGCATACTTGTTGGACCTTGACAAGAAGACAGCTGCTCCAGCTCGGGGTAACCCGAAGCCGAAAGTACAAGAAGTTGTTGGGAAGTCGATGCCGAACTAGGCGCAGCTGTACGTCACCACTTAGGTCCCAGGCAAAGGTTGTAAGTTCCGACCGATCGTGACATCGAGAAGTTCTCCGACCTCTCAAACTTGAGGATAATCGAGTTTGACGAAGGACTCATTGAAGAGCATGGCATCAACACCGCAGGAACCCCAACGCGTGAAGAATGATGGACCGGCATATCCATTTTCCCTCTCTCAGGCTCGAGTGCTGAGACGATCAGACATGCCCTAGCTGCTTCCAAAGGCAAGCCGTCTAGATCTAAGGCCGAAGCCAAGAGAGAGGCGAAGGAACAAAAGTTCAAAGGTACTGACAACATCTGCAAAGAGCCGGTGGCATCAAAGGAAAAGCCTGTAGTAAACGTCATGTCTTAGGACATGAAAGATTTTCTAGTTTCCTGTGTAGACCGGTACCTTAAACTCGCTAAGGTGCCGAAGCAATCCCTAGCCTCAGAAGACCGTGTTGCTAACCCGTTGATGGTGAGGAACCAATGCTAGCAAGGTTCTTATGAAGATCCTTCTTTGTTGAGGGCAACACAAAGCCTCGCATCGAGAGTCACAAAGTGGAGCAAGGACTGCGATCTTGCTCTTCATCGCCTGGTCTGCCATGTCAACTCATCATTGGACGTAAGGATGCAGGGTTTCATTGGGAATCGGATCAGCGAGTGTAAGTTATGGTTGTTTTGTGATGCCGACTGGTCAGGTGAACATGATCGGAAGTCAACGTCCGGTTGTGCTCTTTTCTTAGTCGGGAACACATGCTATCCGCTTAGTGCCTTCTCCGATGTCCAGCACTGAGAGCGAGGTCATCAGCGCTAACCACGCTCTCAGAGCTCAGGGTCCACCCAGCTGAAGCCTATCGATGTTCCTATGGCAACAAGTTGACATTGATCCAGCTCCGCTCCCGGTTAAGGTGGATGAGATTCCAGTGAGAATCGGTATGGTGGCTTCGCAGCCGGTCGCTCAGGGTTTGAACGTTGGACTCAGCGAGAAGTTCCAAATTCAGTTTCTTGAAGACAACCAGGCTACCATCACCATCATAAGCAAACATGCATGACGTGGGTTCACTTGGACCTCATTTGCTACAAACTCTGAAGCTATATCGCTTTTGTACTCGGATTCACGCAACCTCAAAGGGAGTGAGAACTCTGCAGTCAGCTTTGCGATTTTACGGGTGGTTGTTTGTGGGTTGAGGTGACAACAGGTGACGGGCTTCAGACTCAAACTAAGGCCAATGGTCGTGTTGTCACAGGAGACTCCCACAACACTAAGGACACGCCCAAACACTTTGCCCCGGATGCACATCACTGCGTGTTACCACGGAACGGTCATGGAACGGTAGTCGCTTTAGATTGATTGCATGTACCTCTTCCCGCATCGGTAGTATTGACTCCACAACAACCGAACAATTCAGGAATCTTGGATTCAGGCTGCCCAAAAATCCTGCCGTCGCCGCTACAGCCCGATCCATATCGAGGCCGACTGCATGCGTTGATCAGGGGGGTCTAATCCTTAAATAATGGTGGAAGATCACACACGATCCCGTGCCAGCAGAATACTTGCAATTGATCACCCTCATCACTTCACTTGGCAATGAGGGAGGAGCGACACTCATTACTCATTTTTCGTTTGGGTGCGCATCGCTATTTGATGTCGATTTGGGTGTGGCCAAACGAAGCTGGATGGATGTCACCGAGTTGGCCCACTTGTTTTCCACCAACATCTGCATTTTGTTGTGTGGTTGCAAGAATTATGATGTTGTACAAGGACTTCAAGTTCATTCATTTGCACGGGACGCTGATCTTTTGGTGCACGCAGGGCTCCAGACTGGAAGATTGCACGAACTGATTCGACGTTGCATTTGTGACTTCAGGTCACATCTAGCTCGCGCAGCGCCGACGCTAAGGATTCAAGGACCTACGAAGTTTAAGATGCTAAGTACGAACAACGACCATCGTGCTAACGCGTCCCTAGTCTGCCCCTGTGCAGCGGGCCATCAGACCACGCCGAGAGAGATGGCGTCTCCGACCATCGACCGAGTGGCTGCCGAGAATCGGGCTCCACACCCGCTGGTGCGGTGATAGAGACGTGGAGGGCGGTACCTCGTCGCGGCACAAGTACAGCTTGCCTTCATAGGCAGCTGTACCCAGGTCCTCCCCCGCCACATTGATGTACTAGAGCGTTGCGATACTGGCGTCTGCGACCTCGTCCGCGATTTTTGAGCTATGGCCACGTGCGGAATATTCCAAGCGGGGAACAACCCTGTGTCGATCATTTCGTTGCGGGGGTCACTGGTAGACCCTGCGAGCTGAAAGCAGCCTTTGTTTTCATAGGCCACGATCCGAAGAAAGCTCCCTGGTGCCGAGCCAGAAGTTCCTTTGCTCACCGCACTTTTGGATGCCTCCCAGACGGCAACCCACTGGCCCTGTCTCGTCTCCGTTTGAAACTTCGAACCGCGTACGACCCCAATCAGCCATCTCTCAGTGTAATCGATGTTCTTATTGGGTTTGCCCAAATGATCTCTGGGGATGTCATCGCGGTTAATGACGGTCATGTCTTTGCCCTCAGGGTCACCGGGACAGAAGTCGTCTGTGCCGAGAATCTCATTGAGATAGACATCACCATCCCACTTCATTCCAGTGAGGTCGTCCTTCGGGCAACGTCCGACCACCCTTAGGGGCTGCAGCCCGGGGCTCTGTAGCCGACTTGATCGCCGATCTCACGGTCCGGCTTGGCGGCAGACAAAAGCCGATTCGGATCAGTGCGGGAGGGGATGGACTTCATCGAACGTTGCCGTAGGGCCAGAAGTGGAGGATTCTGCCACAGCTGATGCTGGGCGGCGTCGCGGCTTTGCTTTCGCCTCTCTGAGCCTCGCCTGAGCCGGGTTTCGTGCATGGACCCAATTCCTGATGTTGTCAGGGATGTCAATCAATCTCAGGCGGAGCAATGTAGGAAGATTCCCACGGGTCTGTGCACCTTTCTGCTGCCTCACGGATCTCGGCGGCCTGCCTTTAAAGGCGCTGAGTTCTGAGATCGCAGCAGCACCTTGTCAAAGACAAAACGCATCAAGTATTTGCGCTCGGAGGTTGGATCGTTTGGATACTCCTCCGGTGCTGATCAGCCACTCCAGAACATTTGCCAGCATCGAGCGGTTTGTGCTATCCTGGTAGCAGTCATATTTTGGGATTGCACCAAACACATTCTCAAGACAGCTAGTGTATAAGTAACTCTCGATATTCCCAAGGGAGCAAGTAAGTAATCGAGCGGGCTGGCATCACTCATGATTTGCACACTCGCTACGACCGGCCTGCCCTGTAGGGTGGCTGCGGCTAGACGGCCTCTCCGCACACCCTGGCAGCAATGTCGGGCCGAAGCCCTGAGGCCTCCAGTTCCTCCTTGGGGAGATCGTGGTTGAGAGGATGGGTCCACAACGACTCCTCTCGTGCCGACTAACTCAGACCCCATCCAGACTATGCCACACGTATGCCTATTTCCTCCGGATTCTTGGACTGTTTCACAATCTTCTCGACGCTGTGGAGAGGTCCGAGAAGGTTCTGCGACCGGCCTTGAAGATAGTCGTGCTGTCCGACACAAGCACAAGGGCTTTTCACGGCCACGGTTGTCACCGGGCTGGATTTTCCCCAAGGCTTCGTCAGACACCATCACCAGCTTCTTAAGGCTGGGCAGTCCTTCAGCATTCTTGAGAGCGACCTGTGCCGAGATTTGCAGGGACTTCTTCTCGTACAAGAGTTGTACGGTGTCAGAGCTGCATTCTTCAGCCACCACCGCCGCCCACGAAAGGGAATGCACCCATTCCAGACGGACAGCGCTGCTCTTGTCGTTGATCACGATACTGCATTTGCCATCTTGCAAACCAGCTTTACCCCAGGTTATGGCGAGTCCAATTCCACAATCACTTGCCAAGGCCCACCCTGGATGAGCTCAATGAGCGAGCCGGAGTGACGAACCTTAACATCGAGGTAGTCCTCTCAACTGCAGAAGTCCTGGAGCACGCTTGGTTGCTTGAGACAGCAAGCGAAGGTGTGCTCAAACGTGATCGTGTGCCTAGCAGCATTCGTGACGCCTCAAAGAACGCCACACGGCGGATGATGCAGGTGACGAGTTTGTCGCGGTCGATGTCCCGTTCGCAGCCGAAGCGGAGCTGGAAGAATCCTTGGCTGAGCCTGCTGAAGCGGCAGACGAGGACCTTCCAGCCCCACCTAGTGGAGGCCAGGAATTCGATGGCGACATGGGGATGGCTGGGAGGCTCCTGGATTCTCTTTGTTAGTGTCCACAGCCTTCCGGATTCACCTGTCCCACAGCCAAAGACTCCGGTACGGCCGGCCTGAATTCGCCTTGTTAGTGTCCACTTATAATGGAGGCCAAGAACCCCGCAGAAAGCACTGCGTTTAGCAATCAATGACGCCACAGCTAGCGACTTCCTCCCGGAGGAGAATGCTGTGTTCGGGGATTGGTGACGTCGACTTCACGCCCGATCCGATGTTGGTGAGCCCGACACTGTGTATGCTCGCGACAACGTTGACGAAGAGGGAGAGCCGACTGTTCATTTCGGGAATGCGCCACCGCAACCCAAGTCCAGGCCTCTCGCACTTCCTTCTTCCGACGGGTGGCCGTCGGCGAGCATGCCCGAACTTTGGAACACAGCATCTTGTAAGGCAGATGATGTGCCATGGATAGGACGGTACAGTCATCAATGCGTCGTCCCAGAGCCTGCGCAATAAGATGAAGACGACGAGGTGGTTTGCTGAAGCAGCAGCTGCCGCTGCTAGCGGAAAGCTGATATCACAGCTGACGGTCGAGGAAGCCCTCCAAAACCTGACGCGTGACTCCAGCCACCGCGGAAGCGCCGCGGACTTCAGTCAGTCAGTCCCTCGACAGCGCCGCTCTGGAGAAAGTTAAGCAGATGTTGAAGCTGGCACAGGAGCAAGACTAGCCAGGTTCGACAACGATGTCGACTACACGGTGCGCAGCAGCGCAAATGGCTTCGATCGGGAATTCCTGCGTATCGAGGACATCCGCGTCAAGGGTACGTTGCTAAATGTCGGATGGACGCTGCCCGAACGCAGTGAATCCGCCCGACTGCTGTACATCCATGAGTGCAAGCCAGCCGCCCTTAAGGCAGGCCTGCTCAGCACAGTCAATGATGATCCCTTCGTTGTCATGTGGTCAGGTGTCGCCTACAGCGTCGCTGACTTTGTTGAGGTTTTCATCCAACACAAAATCCTCACTTTCACCGAAACTCTCTTTGTCGACCCTAACTTGGGATACAACGCTGCTGTGTGGGCTGACTGACTTCGCTACAAATTTAACCAGCAGCTTCAGGCCTGCATCCGTGCACATGAGGACAAGCAGGCCAACACTCAGCTTGCTCTCATCGCACAAGCAAGGACCGAAAGCAAGGGCCGACGGCAAGCATGAAGCCTACGGCAATGTGAAAGGCTCACACCCTGACCCGATCCGGTGGCCGCCACCACCGCTGAACAAAGCTCGATCCATCGTTTTCCGACACGTGAGTCGGTACTCCGAATTAATCCCGATTTGCGGGATGGCTACTTTTATAATTGCATGTTCGCGACATGTCAAACTCCACGGCAGAGCTAATTCGTTTGTGATTGCATCTTCCGCTTTGCATTTGCAGTAAGCTTTCGAGCCAAGCAGCAGTCCAGCCGCCTTTATGGCAGGCCGTACATTTGGACGTCGTGCACGTTTCCGCCTCGGCTCACGCCTTGGCGAGGGGGGTGTAGACTATGCACGTGAAAATAGTCATCCTTTCCGTACATGACTGCTGCATTAGTGCGCTAGAGGTAAAAAGAGTGTAGCTGCCCTGCAGTGGTAGTACCTCTACCACTTAACGGACATCTTAGTATCAGTGCATGTGAGCAGTGGTTTCCCCAACCTATACAGACGAAGCAGGAAGTCACAGGAAGGCACTGGCATTCGAATGTGCATTGACTGTGCGAATTTCTTGGGGCTTTCTGCGCTGGGCGCCGCTCATCGTGCTGTAGTTGGACGATTGACTGCTAACACTGAGAATCAGAGCGCTTTCCCTTCGGAGAGGCCAGGATCAGGCCTGTCCTCGAGGATGCCATGTCCTGGGAGCCGACGGAGCTGCTCTCAGGCGAAGGGTTTTGGACGCTGTGTGTAACAGGACTTTTGGGTTACGAGCGGTACTCTCAAGTTTCTTGTGCTTTACCCTGAAACCTTCTGTCAGCAAGCAGCAAGGCTAAACCTGGCCCCTCAACCTTAAAACCGTTAAGACCGGACCCTGCATCCGCAGGAGCTGTGCATCTCTGTTACTTCATGCTCTTCGCCTCCTTCTACACACAGCTTCCGGGTCTCCACGGGCCACAGGGGATCGACCCCTACCACCTTTCTGAAGGCTAGAAGAGTGGGTGGGTAGTGGGGTGTTGCGATGAGGTTGAAGAAAGTGAACGCGAGGTTTATTCAACACGCCAATTGTGTGCTTCACGCGGCCTGATCGTCATGCACAGAATATCGCACGCTGAGCGACCGGATGACACGAACAGAAAGCCATCAAGATAGGCTGCTTTCAATGAAGAGCTATTACAAGCAAACTGCATCTAACGAAAACAGAGAGCTGACGTCTGTCAACAGAATCTCGCAGATCATAAGCAAGTGGCTTCAGTTGGTAGGAAGACCGACTTCCAGATTCCGCCAAATTGTGGACCGCGGTTTCTGGAAACAAGACTTTACCAGCAGGAAATGAATCCTACCGTTGCAGCTGACCGTCTATGTAATTGGCCTCGTTGAAAAGTTACGAGACGTTTGGAACTTTTACAGAAGTTGATGATCAAGTTGCAGTATGCCAACTGCTTCCCCGAAAGCCGTGAAACCACCGTGTACATATTTCGATTCATCAGGTCCTTGGGTCAACTACGTTTAACGACTTCTAGAAAATGAGTAAAGACAAAACCCAAAGAATGGAGAATGTAGCATATCTAGACCTGTGCCAGCCCTAACCTTCTCCTAGCTCTGCCTCTCAAGCGCGAGGCCTCAAGGACACCTTCTTCCTCCGCCACGGAAGCCGAGGGCCTTACTGGGCCGCCGAGCTCCTGGGATCCCAGCAAGGTTTAATGAATGTTAGATCGCCGTCTGCAGGTGAGTGGGCAGTGGTAATCATTTGTCCTGAGTACACCACGTAAGAATCTGTGTCAGCCCAGGCTGGCCGCACTGCTTGGGATGTGCGCATCTGGAGCTGCGACTGCCATTCCAGCCGCTTTGACCTCGTGGGGGTTACTACTCTTGCCACTAGTGTCAGTGCCGATGCTGATGCTACTGCTGCTCCTACTACTACTGCCACTACCACTACCACTCACGCGTATCACTATGGCGACGACCACGACTACGACTACACCGCTACTCTTACTGCTACTGCTACTCCTACGACTACGACTACTACTTCTTCTTCCAGACGCAGCAAATTTCTCCCTTGCTCAGCTCTGTAGCTTGGCAGGTCGGCACCCCGGCACTTAGTGCGATCCAAACTTCTGTGGATCCCGAACATTATCTTCCCTTCTGGCTCCCGGGCCCGAGGGCCCAACAAGCAGGAGCCAGCAGCACTCAGAATAAAAAGAGAAAGCCATCAGCAAAAACAAACCCCGTCACCAAAAAAGGATGACTAGGGCACAGCACAGAGCCTATAGATAAAGGCATACAGGTGACTACATTTCTGTAACTCCTTTTGGGGTCCAAGCCTGGCAGCATTTTGGTTGTCATCAGTCCTGAGATTACCATGAGTTTCATCATGAAGGATGGCTCTGTAGTGGCCAGCTGTAGGACTGCTGCTGCTGCTGCTACGACTACTACTACTACTACTACTACTACTACCACTACTACCACTACTACCACTACTACCACTTCTACCACTACTACTACTACTACTACTACTACCACTACTACCACTACTACCACTACTACCACCACTACTACTACTACTACTACTACTACTAACTCGAAGTTCGTTAACCCTCGAATCAAGCAAGCCGGAAAACACACATCCTAAAGGGCCATCCTCGGGCCCCACACTCAGGCCATGAGAAGGGGTTGGCTGGGGCTTGGCCTTACCGGCACGGAGTGGGCACTTTGGAGAGACGCTTTGACGGAAGCCGATTTATTGGGGTGTCCTTTGTCATGGCTTGGGACTGATATGGGGCCTTGAGTGGGCTCACAAGATTTCGGATTTAGGTTCTTGTGTTCAGGCCTGAGCTTGGGGTGTATGTTGGGTTTCGGCGCAGGATTTTTCTCCAGGGCCGGGAGGTAAGGAGCATAGGAGGGAGGGCTCTAGGTTGCCATTGGTTGGATTTGAGGCCAGGTTTCAGATGGCGATAGGCGAGAGCGATGGGGGATTCATTGCAGTCAGGGCTTACTGTTTTGGCGGCCTTTGATCCTACGTCGGCGGCAAAGCTTCATTCTCCAAACTCCAGAAGCCGAAGCATCTAACACCCAAGGCAACTCCCGAGTCCTGTTCGGATATCTCGCGCTGAACCCTACCAGAGCAACTCGTAGTTGTTAGTTGTATGAGTGTACTTGGACTTGACATGCTAAGCTTCCTACCTTTGCGACACCTGGTTTGGCTTCTCTACGTGTGAGAGTCGGAAACAGAAACAGAACCCTAACCTTGAAACAGAACCCCCGCCTCAACTTGCAAGGGCGAAGCTAAATCCCAAACATCCCATCCGTCGACCCTCTGCCAGCTGAGGACTTCCTAGTGTCCTCTCAGTCATCGCTGCTGGGATCCACAGACCTTGTTTTCCTTAGGAGTTTGGGTTTGAGAACAGAAACTTTTACAACCATTGGTCGCCTGTAGCTTCTTGGAAAAAGCACCAAAAAGGAGAGAAAGAGAGAGAGAGAGAGAGAGATTTATATAACGCACCCCTGCCGACTGTTGAACTGTTGCCTTCCCCCGAAAACCCCAAACAATGAGGGCCTTGGGGGCCGGGGGGCTTGAGACGCCCCCGACACCCGAAGGAAGAAGATGTTGATATATTTTTTTATGCGGTCAGGCGCTCCGCCCCTCCCCCCCTGCCGGGAACGCCAGACGCCTGTATATGCAGAAGTCCTCTCATCCTTTCACCAAGGTTCCCGGTGGGCATGACCTACTTGGCAATGGAAGGCAGCATGGGTGCAGCAGCCTACGCCTTGAATGCCCCGAACTTGGCCTCCTGGTTCTGGCGCTGGTGCCTCTTTCGGGGACTTCTCTCAGGACGGGGGCTGCATGAGATCAATCACTGGCAGAAGCCTTCCGGCACCCATGTGTAGGCAGTGCCCATGGCAGGAGGTGTGCACAAGCTGCTCTTGTGCGATGCGAGTTGGAACAACCTGTCCGCAGTGCACTGGCACTTCCAGGGCAATCCGAATCCCTCCGCCTTGTCTTGGTATGCCTTTCAGTTGACAAGCACTTACCCGTTCCTGGGACATATGGCTACTGCTAGCACTCTGGCTATTGAGCTGGTGGCGCCCTTTCTCTTCTTTTCGCCCAACAGGGGCTTGCGAATGCTGGGCCTGGCCGGAAGCAGTTTGCTGCAGTTGGGAATTCTTGCGAGTAGCTTGTTGTCATTTGAGCAGCCCGGCTTTCCTGCTTTGCACGAATGAAACTGATCAAACCACTAACAGATCCGTGCACTAGTCAATGGATGCCGGACAAACTCAGGTGGCAACTACGGCCCCTTGAACTTTTACTTCTTGGCCCTGGGTCTCTCCTTGCTGCAGTCTCGCCGCCAACTGACGAACGCTCCTCCGGGAGAGGAGGAAGCAGCTCCATGCCAGGCCGTCGGCTGCCGAAACCCTCAGAACTTCTCCCTCCTTAGACCCTGGAAGCTTAAGCATGCTCGACCCTACAAATCCGACATGCCCTACAGCTCTCGAAACGCCCTACTGTGGCCCTAAGAGGTCTGGCCAGCTGCTGCTGCCGGGCTCGGTTCTGCTTTGGCCATCGGCGTTGCTACCCATGTGCTGCCCGGGAGTCCCGGCTTTCTTGGCACAAAGGTCGGCAAGACTACGCAGCAAAAGCATGCACGTAGTCACAAGTTGACCGGCACGAGCTGTGATAGATTCGATCCACGGTGTTGGCATGACGTCTTGTAGCTTTCGGCAGTCCCAGACCACAAATATCCACCAATGACCCACGAGGAGCCCCGCTGCCACCGCCACTGGTCATGGATCCAAAAATATTTTCCCCAAGCCCCGAACTTCGTGTGGCTTTGGCAAGACAACTGCTGATCCCGTGATTCCGACGCGAACTGCAGGCTTAACACCCGCCGCAGCCCGACACCCTAAGCCAAAATCCGAGTAACAAATTTCACCATCCTCAAGAGCCGCAAAGCCTCCAAACGAGGACCCCGACTCGCTGCCCCAGTGCCGGTCATACGGTGTACGCCCACGTCATCGCTGCTTGGCTTTGGTGGTGCTTTGGGGAGGGGCTGACCGATGGTTTCGTGCGGTCAGCATTTGCAACGTCGAGCTTTTGGCCCAAAGTGTTAGGTTAGGCGCTTTTCTCTCTCTTCCATCCTTAACCCCTAAACTCCAGATTCTGAAGCATGCAAACATCACTCAAAGGCCCTCGAAACCCAAAAGGCGCTTCTCTCCTCCGTCGCCGGGCTTCAGGGCCTGATCTCGCTGACCTCCGGATTGGAGTTCGACGCCCGTCCCAACTGAGTAAGGCCCACTAAAAAGGAATAAAGGACACTCCGATTGCCGGGTAAGTGGTTGTAGCAACTGTAGCAGCAGCAAAAGAAGCAGGAGTAGCAGTAGCAGTAGCAGTAGCAGTAGCAGTAGCAGTAGCAGTAGCAGTAGCAGTAGCAGTAGCAGTAGCAGTAGCAGTAGTAGTAGTAGTTGTAGTTGTAGTTGTTGTTGT